GATGGAGAATATGAGTGCTTTGAAATTGCAGTCTCTGCATTGATGTGGATGACAGCAAAACCAACAATAAAAGAAAAAGGTCCTGCTGCTTCTCTTGGGAAAATGAAATTAATTCCCATACTGGGTATTAATACTTGGCATGGACTTCTAGGGCAAACAAATGGCTAGCTTCTTGTTGTTTCAAATACCTTTCATTTTCTTACATTAAAGCTGAAATGTTTCTCTATGTGGTTGGTAGCATCCCAACAGATTCCAATAAAAGTGAGTATTTCATCTTGCATCCTGTGATTTGAGAACTATTTCATAAAGCCTGTAAGAAAGGATATGGTTTTGTTTAAGTCTCTTAAGAACACGTTTTACCAGGACCTTGTTTCGGAGGTAGTTCTGTGTTTCTGTTTTCACCACATACCAGAGTCATCAATGCTGCATTGCTCAATGGTGCCTGCAGTGATCTGTGTTTCGTAAGAACTGCAACAGTGGATCAGACACATTCATGCTTTCACTGTTTGATACCGTAAAACTCAGACGTTCTGCTCTGTAATCCCTCACTTTTTCTTTTTTCCTTTTTTTTTTACTTTTTTTAATTTCATTAGGCAAGTTCCTGATGGGAATACTCTGTTATCTGAAGACATGAGAAGAGAACTTCAGAGGCAGCAGTGGGAAAAAGAAGAGGAAGAAGCTCTAAGAAAACCCATGGGACCCATACATTATGAAGACATTCGAGAAAATGGTTTAATTCCATACTTTATATTACTTATCTCTGTATCACCACTCAAAGAGATTGGGTTTAGAAGTAGCAAGGGAAAGTTACTTCTTGTGCCTTTATGACAAACTTCAGGTGTGCATTAAGCCACGTGTGTCATAACAATTCAAATTACCAGTATGTAAATCTTGATTTATTTTTCCTCAAATTGTATTTTTCTCAAATGTATTTTTCAAATCTCATTGCATCCTCCTGTTCCCTCATTCATGAAGCTTCAATTCATGTACTATCTAAAACAAGCTGATGCAGTATATGTTGTTGGGAGCAATTCAGTGCCTGAGAGCAGGGTGCACGGTGCTTGTAGTTACTGTCAATTATAAACTAAGTGTAACTTAAATTTACTGATTTTCTTCTTCTTTTCAGAGGCCAGACAGCTTGGTGTTGGTTACTTTGCCTTTTCTCGTGACCAAGAACTTAGGAATAAACAACGGGCAACACTGGATATGCTAAGAGAGCAGGTATGAGTTTGAAGAGCAAATGGGGGTATGAAGATGTCCTGGTTTCAGTGGTCGCTGTATTGGATTTGTTGTGTAAGTCTTATACCAGGTGATGCCTGCAGCTGACTCCAAAAATTTTGGCCTCTTTTTCCCTTATGAAACGCGGTGCTTGATAAGGATTGCTTTTAGCTGTTCAGTGAAAGAAGGTCTGTAGTTGATAATAATAACAAAGGAAGATTAATTCATGTTTTTCTTTGCTGTTAAGACCCTTGATCAGAGAACCAAACGTGAACAGTTGAAAGAAAAAAGGAAGGCGGCTCTGGATGCAAGGCTGTCTAAACTTCGAGCACGGAAGATTAAGAAGTTAAGGGAAGCTGGATTAGAGGAAGAGGCAGAAAAACTGGAAAATGGAGGTATGATCTGCTGCCTTTTTAACCTAATTACTTGCTATTTCATCTTGTACTTGATCGATGGCCAGACACACTCCAATTGATTTAGGTTTGGACATTCAATATATTGGCATTATGTTTTCTGTATATACAATCAGTATAACTGTTAAGATAGTGAGAGTTCATATAATTGTGTATGGACATAAAATCATGCCAAAAATAGCTTTAGAATGCAGGTGTGATATGTGGATTGTAGGCTTTTTTTGGTTCACATCTGAGAGCAGGAATTTTGTGGGTTAATTGTGCAGGTTGAGGTTAAAGCTGCTGACATTTTACTGGCTTTTTTAAGATGAGGTAGAATAAAAAGTAGTATCAAGTTGATTTTAATATCGGATAATACATACTCTTTCAGTGCAGTCTAAATTGGACATCCAGCTGACTTTAGGATTTAGGATGATGCATTTGAGTTCTAATCCCATCTCTGCGCTGTCTCCCTTGTGACATTACTTGTGATCTGTGCTGTCTGTCTGCCATTATAAAATGCAGCTGATATTTCACTGTGTCAGGATTCTGTGCTAGTGATTAACTGTGAAGTGTTCTGGAATCGGAGAACAATTAATGTGCCACTGCTGTTACTCTTGTTCAGAAGAATAAGAATGCAAATTGTTTTCTCCAGTAAATGAAATGGAGATAACATGCTAATGTTCTTATTTCTACCTAATTTTCTAGCTTCAGTATAACACTCGGCACATTCCTTTTTGGGTTATCTGGCAATAGATTTTTCAGCAGTCTTCTTGATACAGCTGGAAAGCTAATGAAATGTCTCTTGGTAGATATGCTTCTTGATTAGCTGACTTACCCATTATCTTTTTGGAACTAATATGCAGTAATTAAAAAAAGAATCACCTCCCCACTCAGATGCATTTAATTAATAGAATGAAATTAGATAACTAGCATGAGCTCTATAAATGCAAATAACTCTTGCTTCCTGTTCCTCCTGTGAGGTTCATACGGGTTTTATCCCGTTACTCACAAACACTCTATTCTCTGTCTGTAACGCAGAGGTGAAAGGTGTTACCGATGAGCCGGAGCCTCCAAGAGTGACTGCAGCGAGCAGAAAGGTAGAGGTTGTCATCCAGGAGAGAAGAGATACAAAGCCTGGCGTGCCTTACGTTCGAGAGTGGGATAAAGGCAAAGGTAAGGAAATGCAGCTTCAGAAACGTCAGGAAGCAGCGTGCACACTGCTGCTTTAATTTCCATTTTGTGACAAAGTATGGTAAGACTGAGAAGCAATGAAATACTTTCTCCCTTTGTACTGCTGGCTGTTTAGTGTCCAGTGGAGTGCTTGACATCTCCATAATTTTTTCTTCTATATGATTTACTCAATTTTGGGATGATCCAGAGAGGTCGGCTGAATGACAAATTTCATAGTTCGTAACATTTACTGTCTTTCAGTGTGATCTTTTGTCGATGTATTTCTGTAGTTCGTGCTATGCAATGGCAGGATGAGTTATACTGAAATAGGTACAGGATGATGCTAAAAGTGATGCACGCAGAGACCGCTCCAGTGCCGATGTCCCATCTTGAAACATCTTCCTTGTCACAGCACGTGCTGGCTGCCTTTGAGATCCTTCCCAAACCCATTAATTCATTTTGCACCATTAATCCAAGCTCATGCACATTCCTGCAGCCTGATGCCTGACTTGTAGGTAAAAGCTAGGGGAAAAAATTCTATCCTGCCCAACACTGGGTTTTTTCCTACCTCTGAGGAACGCTTGGATGTGACTGACGCTCAGGCAGCGCTGTACTAGACAGAATGTGAAGTAAAATAACTATGGTTTACTGAACAGAAATGTAACACAAGCATCGAAATTAGTATAAGAAGAGATAAAACTGCTCACTTTCTTTGGTGGTTTCCTCCTTACTCTTCAATTTATTTATTTTTACCAAAGCAAAGGAAGAAGTCCTGCTCTGATCTGGGCTCTATTTTGCTACATCATACAAATGTGTAGCCCTTCTATATCAATATTTTCTATTTCATTTCTTACAGAAGTCTTGATAGAAATGAATACTGAAAAGAATTTTGGTGGTTTTAGAGAATACGTTTGGGAGACATCTTTGGAGTAGGTTTTGGGGATATCTTTTTAAGTGTGGTGATCTTGAGCTATCATTCCATTGCAGCACTTCAGAACTATAGTTAATTGAAAATCAGCAGCTGTTACAGTAACTGGAATATCTACCACTTCTGTTGAAATAAAGAAGTTACTGGTTTTTTCCTGTACCCACTAGGGATGTTCACATCATCTCCATCTTCCAATAACTAAGTTCTAGCTTTGATTGTTTTGTAGTTTGATTCACCCCTAACGAATTAGTCGTTTTTCATAACAAATGACAACATTGTTAAAGGATCTTAAAATGCCTAGGATGAGTTATGTAGAGGATGGTGGCTGTCTTTAATGCTCAGTGCTTTCACTCCTGCTCTGTAAAGAAAGTGGAAGGTCAGCTCAGCCAGCAATCTCGTACTAGATGGAAAGGAAACTTCAAATGGCTTTACACAACTGCTGCTTCTCTGTTTGCTTATTTGTTTTCCCTCCTTTCTGACTGATCTTCAGACCCTGAAATCTATATTCAATGTACCATTTTCCGTTTCTAACAGAATTGATGTTTGGACAATGGTCAAAGAAACAGGAAGAACTCAGAGATGAGCGAGATCCTGAATTTGCACCACCTTCTGATTACTTTACGGGCCAAAAGAAAGATGATAATTACAGAAGTCAGAATTTGAACAGTCCTGAAACCTCCTCTGAAAAACTGGAAACGGAGACAGCACAAAAGCAACAGATGCCACCAGTGCGGGCCAGTGGTGGCGGCAGCACTGAAGATGTGCCACCGTCAGCGCAGGCTTACCACGGCAGTGCTCAAGATGAGCCGGCATCAACAGAGGTCCGTGGCAGTGACGCTCAGGATGTGCCATCGTCATCAGAGGATGACAGCAGCGATGATGAGGATACGCTGCCATCAGCACAGGCTTACGGCTATGGTGCTCGAGGTTTGCCGCCATCGATGCACGCTTACGGCTACGGTGCTCCAGATGTGCTGTCACCAATGCACGCTTACGGCTATGGCGCTCACAATATGCCATTTCCAGTGCAGGCTTATGGCTACGGCCCTCAAGGCATGATGCCACCAATGCACCCTTACGGCTACAGCGCTCATGATGTGCCGTTTCCAATGCAGGCTTACGGCTACGGCACCCAAAACGTGCCAGCAACAATGCAGGCCTGTGGCTGTGGCACCCAAGGTGTGCCGCCAGGAATGCAGCCCTGTGGCTGTGGCACCCAAGATGTGCCGCCAGGAATGCGGGCTTATGGCTGCAGTGCCCAAGAGGTGCCACCATCGGAGCAGGCCTGTGGCTGCAGCGCCCAAAATGTGCCACCATCAGAGCAGGCCTGTGGCTGCAGCACCCAAAATGTGCCACCATTGGAGCAGGCCTGTGGCTGCAGCGCCCAAGAGGTGCCACCATCGGAGCAGACTGACAGCAGTGACACTCCAAGTCAGGAGCCACTTTACCAAAGTTTAGATGATATGCTGTCTTATTACAGACAAGTGACTTGAACTGAGCAAAAAGATAAGCAAGAATCGTGATTTAAAGAACCGAAATAGAATTACCTTCTCAGCAAGAATATTATTTTCCCACATCGGGGAAAAAATGAGTTTCTGTAAGTAGATCAAAATAAATCTCCTGGACACCTAAGCTATTTCACATCACAGCTGTACTTTTGCCCTGTTGGTTCTCTATTTTTTTTTTATCTTCATAAAAATTATGTGTTTCTTTAGGCAGTACTTTGTTTAGTACATATTTCATTTTAACTCTTTGTCACTTACACCAGAATTTTGGGGTATATTAAGATGAACTCTTCCTTCACTCTGTCGCTCCCCACCTTGCATCTGCTTTGAAGGTACAAGTTCAGTGGTATCTGTAGAAATGGTATTAAAATGGCAGGCCCTCTGCTGCCAAATACAGAATGGTTTTAGGAGATTTATTACCTATTTGATCTCCTGCCTTTAGGAAGTGCAGAATATTATGTAGTGAACGGTGGTTATGCGGTCATAACAGCTTCTGCATTCCTGAGGTCTGTGTATAACTCATCGTTCTGCGAAGCAAGTGAGAGCGGAGAGAGGCGTTGCAGAAATCAATGATGATGGCAGACAAATAGACACTTCACTAAAGTAGAAGTCTTGACACCTGAAATGACTGTCTTACCAGTTTAGAAAATGCTCTTATAATTCTCCAGGTGCATTTTTCTTGCATCATCTGTTATATTTATGGCTTTATTTTTTCCAGAAACTGTTATATTGGAGTCATTCTAGCTAAAAGCAGACCAACCTCTTCCAAACAAGCATTTATTTCAGACTCTTAGTAAATAAGAACGGTACTTACTTACCATGTAGAATATTATTATGAAGGTACTTTAGATACCCCCATTTGTATTTTAAATGCTTATACAAGGATAGAACTAATAAGTATAGTAATAACTAAAAGGAAGATGTTACAAGCACATCTAGCTTTACCAAATGTGACAGCATCAAGATGGGTTTTTTTCCTCATAAATTTGCTACAATCTCAGGTCAATCAATATCCATGAGATGGCAGTCTGGTCTTACCCATCTTCTGTAAGAAATTCTGCCTGTATACACCAATTTTCTGGTATTTATTTCATAGTAGCATTGAAGTCACAAATCTCAAATTTGACTAAAAAAATCAGTCTTCTTGCAGTGCTACTATTGAACTTGTCCATGGAAACTGATGTTAAATGTTTCATAAGGAAGTGTCTAGTTGCCTACAGAGTAAGCAAAGCAAAAGCCTTGAGTTATTTGCAAAGACTCTGCTACTTCTTTAGGGTACCAAACTACTTGGACTAAATTTTCTAAGTATCCACTACCAGATTTCACTGCTGTGCCTCGCCAGGGGGATCACCACCTTTATCCGTATGCTTAGCTGTGATCCGCTGGTACAGCTGGAATACATCTAATACCGTGTTGACAGGAGCGACTTAATAGTGACCGTCATGTTTGAGCTATTTAATTAGGGCAGGCTGGTTGTTACAGCAGAGGAAACAAAGGACCTCGTTCAGATTCCTCCCATCGGTCTGGGAAAGCTTTGTTCAGAGGATGTCATTTTTGTGCACGTGAGCAAATGGGAAGTTTGGACTCAAAACAGCTTAGCTGTACGTTGGAATAAACATCTAAGATTTTTTTCTTGCAACAGCCAGTTTCAGTGTCAGGCAGGTTCAAACAGGTTTCCAGCCTGGAAACACTGCATTTTTAAAGCAGGTAATGCATTTAGAACTATTTTATGAAATCTGTTGGAAAAAAACAATCCCTTTTGACCAGAGATGCTTTAACCCGTATTTAAATTTCTTAGCAAGAAAGAATTCAGTACTGTAGTTTCTTTGTTCCTAGAAACAGGATCAGACTGAGTTGGCAATTCTGTTGGTTGAAAGAAATGGAAAACAAAATTTAAAACTGACGTGTTTTATATCTTTGAAAGGTCATAACTTAGGAACCAATATAATGCCCTTGGAAGATGGAGAAGTTTCTTGTTTAAGACCTCACTCACATGAATCAGTACCTGGAAGTCACTCAGAGCTGAACTATAAAGAGTGGGCATAGTACTTTAAAACATACGAGCTCGACTTGAATTAATTATGACCATCATCCTTTGATTTCCCTGTAAACAATATTTCCATCTATTCTGCCACTATTTTAATCATTGACATTCATTTCCTACTGCTGCCTGGGCTTTGTGTTCTTCTGTGCCCTTCAGACTGGGGTAATTTAATGTATACATGTGATACAGGAGCTATACAGTCTTTGCATTAGTTTAACACTGAGCTGGAGCTGAGCTGTGAAATGAAATGCCACTTATTCCATAGCATTATGTAAAAACATACAATCAGATTGTTGCTTTGTTCAGCTTAATTTCCATAGCCTAATATTGAACACAGGAGGACTCTTGGCCAGGAAGGCAGTTCAACGTCTACATTAAACTAAAGCCTATTGAGAACAGCTCTCCCACAGCAGCGATCTGTCACTTTGCCATTTGGTCTCCTTCCCTCTTGTCTTGATTTCTGGCTGAAACGCTTTTGCATATTCTCCCATGCTGCAGAGCACACATTTCTATACAACTGTTTCACTCTTCTTTCACTCAGACCACCTCAAGATAGCTTCGCTCTGACTGGCAACCTCATTCACCTCATTTAGTAATTCCTGGGGCAAACACTTGCTTATTGATATGCTGCCAGGGTTATGTTTCTCTCATGTTCTGGCCAGATCTAGAGGATGTTGTCTCCCATTCCCTCTTTCTCCTTATTTTAAGGAAGTAAGGAAGTTTTCTAAGTACCTTTAGAGAACACAATTTGCTCTGTGTCACCAAGGGCTGATTTTTCACCTCCTTGGTGGGCAGCAAGGATCTTATTCTGACTGTGAACTATCAGCATATCAGCTAAGGCTGCTAGAAGGGGTAAAAAGTATCTAGCTGCAGTTCTGTAACATTAGAGGTAATACTGCATCAATCACATTGTCCTCATTAACTGTTTTTAATACAAATGGCTCTCCAAGTCCTTTGGTGTCCAGGAGGCCTGGTCCTGATACCAGTTCTATCAGTAGCTCTAAAGTTGTTAAAATCTAGTCCTGCTAGACCCTAATTTCTCCCATCTTGAAGTAAACTTGGACTAAGATCTTCCTTCCTCTCCCTTTTTTTTTTGGTCTGGTGGAATTTCGTGTAAAATTTATGTCCAACTTTGACCCATAAGACCCAGGGTACTGACTTTGCATCTTATTGTAGTTAAAGAAAGGCAAGAACAAATGTAAAGATGTACCAGGAGTTGGTTAGCATACAGATTCCTGGATTACTTTATCCTTCTCTCAAAGGGTCCTCAAACACACCATAAAAACCTGAACTTTTACGAAAATTCTATTTAAACTTAACAGTTTTAGCTGGACGTTTACTTCATAATTAAGAAAGTGCTTTGCTGCTTTGTCTAATCAAACCAAATACAGTATTGTGTTCACAGTCAGAGAAGTAAATACTATCCTTGGTAAGCATCTGAGGAAGAAAAATAACCCCTATACTTCTCCTGTAAAGTCTACAGTTGGTTTAGCCTCATTTAAAGACAGGGATTTAGAGGCAATGCGAGATGTTGCTCTGGCTTTGTGCTGCCAGCCCAGCCACTAACTCATGTCATGATTTAAGCTGTGACAGAGGTGCCTGATCACGTTCAGCCACCACACTCAATGATCAACGTGCTCTGACCTTTAAGTGCAAAGTAACTGAAACCTTATACGCATTGATGGCAGCGTGGGCTTTTGCCGACAGAAGCGGGGTGTGACTGTCACCGTCGCAGTTACCCAGCCTCCCAGCTCAGACTGCAGCTGGGACCAGAATGTGGAGCAGGATCCTTCTGCTTGTATCACTTGGAGAAGCTTCTAGCGTTCATCCAGAGGTGCTAACACCATTCAGTTCTTATCCTGTATTGCTCTGGGTGCTCTTTTCACTCAGACCAGTGTGAATCAGCTGGATTTATTCATATAGGTTGTGAAACGTCTTAGTGCTCAGGTAAGAAATCCAGAGTAGCTTCACCAGAGACCAAGGAGCCAATCTGCCGTAGGTGAGTAACAAATAAACAGTTTCATCTTTTGTCACAACAATCTCTCTCATTTTATTTACCCATAGACCTCCCTCAATGTTTTACAAGGACATTTTTCCCTCACCTTCCCTTGGCTGCACCTGTAAGACCGCAGCATACAGGAACCCCAGAGATCCTCTCCCTGCGCTCTCCAAAACCACAAAATTAACACCAACGCAGATTCCCTAAAGCTTTAGAAGAACATACAGGTGTGGGTTTAGACCAAAAAGGGGACATCGCACCGCTCTCCCCCCCAGGAGACACCGCTCCCCCGCTCGGCAAACCGCGCGTGCGTCAGCCGGCGTATCCGCGTCTCGCGCTCTCGGCGGGCGGGGAGATTTCCCCCGCTGG